CGGGGGCGGTCCCCGGCGCGCCTGCGGGGGCCGCGCTGCTCGGCCACGAGCGGACAAGGGGCGCCTCTCGCTGTACCTGCGCTTCTCTCCCGAGCAGCTCTTGCGCTGCAGGCTGCAGAAAGTCCGCGGCCCGCGGGAGCCAAGCAAAGCGAGGCTGTCGAGTGAAAAGGCACGAAAGAAGGAAGAAACCTAGACACCCTCTTGCTGCTCCCGGCTGTTCTGAATTTTGACGTGGAAAATGCAAAGCGCATAGCTTTTAAGCCTGCTCTTGTCGCTCTAAGGGAGTATCTAAGAAGGAAGAGGGCTCTCTAGCTGGGGCTCTCATCTTTGCTTGTGAAGGGAACCTGCTTTGTTTGAATTATTCATCGAAATTGCCTATTTCCAAACAGCTCCACGGGGAGGCTCTGAAATGCAGTCAGGTCTGATTAGTGTCTGCGAAGAAGTGACGCCTGGAGCTGGAGGAAGTTCAGGGACAATTTTAGTTCCCAAGTCTTGTCCCCTCCTGGAGCACTGTGGCCCGGGATGGGGGAGGGGGGTAGGGCCCGGGGACACGGGGCATATTTTTGCTTCAGGACAAGGGAATCTGTCCGGTCTCATTCCGCCGCCCTGAAAACAGGAGAGCAAAAAATAATAGGCGCGCGTTGGGTCTGTACTGCCCAAACAAGCGAGGGTGAAGTCCTGGTAAAATGGAGGGAAAGCAGTGGCTGTTTTTTATAGTCCAAGTGTATAATCGGATTTTTTTTCTCTCCTGATAGAAAGCAGATAAATTTATGAAGGGAGAGCTAAGAGAATAATTACAGGGTGAAGGTAGTTAAATTTTATTTCGAGTCCCAAAGGCAAAACCTGACATTTTATTGCAAACATCTGGAAGGCTTAAGAGACTGGCATGGTGTTTGTTTAAACACTAATAGAGATTTTTATTCTGTAAAACACAAACAAAGCCCATTTAAAAACACTTGAGACTGTAAATATTTTGCGGTGATTCAATTCTCAAAGCCTGAGAAAACCGGGGAAACGCGAGGGGAGAGGGAAGGAATCGACGGCATAATAGCGGTATAATTATGAATTAGTTAATAATACGCAACAATACCGTTTGTGTAGACCATAAAAATAAATTGCAGGCGTATTTTTTTTTTCGCTGTCACAATAAATGACCCCGCGCAGCCCGGGAACATCACCTCGCTCGAGTTTCCAAGCGGCGGCTGCGTCCGCGTTAAACTCGCTTCTTTACGATAGCTCCGGTCTCGAGATCCTCTGATCCGTTTTAAAAGACAGTCCACGTTGTCTTAAAGTCCAATAAATCATTCACTGACGTTATCAGACAGCCTTCAGCCCACACCCGCTGACTAGTTTTAACATTGTTTTCAATTACTAACTTAAAAAAAAAAACGGGCTAGATCTGGCTAAAGGACTTTCGATAACGTTTTCCTTGTTGTGCAGTAGTGTTTGAAACCGGCTCCGCTCAGCCTCGGCGAGCAGAACATCTGGACAGCACTCCCACCCCGCAGCCGGCTCCCCTTTTTTCTCTCTTTTCCAAATATTTCCATATATAAACAAATATTTTCAGGCTCGCTCGGCGACAACTGGAAAGCAGCACTGAATGACTTCTTTATAAACCCCAGGGCCTGGCCCTGCGCCCCTTGCTCCTGCCACTTTATTCCAGGGAGCAGTTTCCTGGATTTAATGGGGGCTACCCCTGCGAGCCAGGGTCTGGAATAAAGACCAGGCAAAGGGCTACATTCTTCTCTAGCGGCTGTCTAAATTCAGATTAACTCCAGGCCGACTCCAGATTTACGCGGCTTGCAGCCGGGAGTGGGAACGTGGTCCTTAACGGGGCTCTTGTGATTCAGCAGAGAAGAGCCTCGCCGGACCAGGTGCCCTCGGGTTGGCGCCGCGGGGACGCGTTTTGCCCAGCGGGCTTGGCCCCCGAGGTGCAAAGAACGGACCGAAAGCTCATTTCCCGGTTTGAGGAGCGCGGGTTTCCCTGGACGAGCCCCCTTAACTCAGGGGCAGAGATGTTTGTCCCGCAAACAGCCTCCCTGCTCTGTCCCCCGGCACATCTCCTGCCTCGGGTGCGCGGGGCCGCACGGCTCGGGGAGGGCCAGGGCGTTGCGCAGGTTGCCTTTTCCTCCGCTTTTGCTGAAAAGCAGCGCTGCCGTTGTGTTTGTCCCTTGCACTCGCCGCAAAAAGGGGGGTAGGGTGACCCCGATCTGTGCAAAATCTCTCGGGCACTGGCATAGCGGCAGGGAAGCTCGCTACTCCGAAGCGGTCCCTCTGCCAGAGCTGGGCGCGGGGTGGTCCGACAAAGTTTAAAGACCACGAACAGCCGCAGGTAAAGAGGACGAAAAGGGACCGCGACTGCTTTAAACCGTCGGCCCTTAAAACCATGTTTTTACCGGCAAAATGTATTTCTGAACTCTTACATCAGCCCCCAAATTTCGTTTTAAATCGCCCAGCCTTTCCAACACCATTTCCTCTCGCTAAAACGCTATAAATAATCCTGTGTTTTCTTGGGCTCTCTTTCTAAAATCTCCCTCCAGCTCCTTTAAAAACCTCCCTCGGTGTCTGTTTCCCAGACGAGCGTTTCCGAGGCTTTCGGAAATGAGGAAACGGATTTTTATTTGGGGGGCATTTTTGCGCCGTGGGGAGCACAGCCGAGGGACCCACTCGAAACGCACGTGCCCTCTGCGGGTCCCCCCATCCGCAGACAGTCCCGGTGCCGGTTTTAAAACCCAAGCTTCCTCCTCAAAGCGTCTTCCTCTTTGGCTCTCCTCTTCCCTCCGC